GCAGACCGTGGCCCGAGGCCGCCGGCCGGAGACAGAGTGACGCTCCTCGCTTCCCTCTCACGCCAGTCCCAGCGCAGGAGACCCGGCGTCGTCCGTGAATCTCGGGTTTGTCAAGTCACCTCGAGCGACTCTGAGAAGCCAGTTCTCCCACTAGGGACGGGGACTGTTCGTGGTCACTAGCCCTGAGAAAGTTACTCCGACACTTTGATCCTCTGTCCAGGATAAAAAGAAAAAACAGACAGCGTGAAGTGTGTTGAGGGATCCCGTCAAGTGGGAAGAGACCTTTTCAGCGCGAGCGGCGAGTGCAGCCCATTGACAATTCGGCCCCGGAAAGGGTTAACTGCATCCTGTCGATTCGGTTTACATGTAAATAGAGAGCAGCTGCTCAGCGCGGGCCCCGGCTGGCTCTTTTAAGTTTTTGATTGGTTGCCAATGACATCACCGCCCGTGTTATAACACTAAGGACCCAGAGCGGCGTCGGATAAACCCTCCTTATAGAGAGGAGACCACGCCTTTGGCTCCTCCCCCCAGCCTCCCATTGGCCGAGGGCCTCTGTGAGGTAGCGGTCGGCTTTCTCCGAATTCCTATTGGCCGGACGTACCGTCGGTCGGCGGCCGGCCCGCCCCTTCAGAACCTTACATTTACAGTGTAGCAAAAGAGAAAGTAACTATGTTGCTGCTGGAGATCAATGAAGCCAAGTGAATGGGGGCTGAATGTACGAGACCGTAGCCCAAGAGGAGCGCCAGATGGTGGAGGGCTCCACTTATTTATGAAGTAAGTCCAAGTCACAGTGACTACTCTAGAGAGCTCGGGAGTGGAGGTGGAGTGTAAGGCGTGCTCGTGTGTGAGTGAGTGTGTGTGCGTGTGTGTGTAAGAGGGATGTGAGGCGATGCTGACGGAGGAGCTCAGCAGGTAAGGTTACAAGGTTCGGGCTGTTGGCTCCCGCTACCCTGTGCGTTTACTCTCTCCGCAGTCTACTTGGATTGGGGGTGAAGGAAAAATAAGGTTTGTTAGGATGCTTTGCGGCAGTTTGAAATGCTCCCAGCTTGTTAGTGCGCTGTGTGGCGAGGAGGGGGAATATGAAGTGCCCCAGGAGTGGGGAAGAAGCATTCTCTAACCACTCAATTTTGTTTCCAGCCCCTAGCCCAGTGGTAGAAGGGCGACTCGCGAGAGAAGGGGGATAGCTCAGTATTTTCTCTGGAAGGTTTCCTGGACCAAACTGGATGGTTTCACAGGCAATATATACGCCCGAGACCTCTGCTGCAGGGATGCAGATCTCTATATACTCCTTGCGTGCGTGCGTGCGTGTGTGTGTGTGTGTGTGTGTTAGAACCGCGCACTCCGTGTGGAGGTGGGGGTCCCAACGTGTGCCTCTGAACAGGCGTAGACGTCCGTCTCTACGGAAATGGACTGTTGATCCTGGACAGACCCTACCAGGTAACACAATAGCGAAGACTTTCACCGCGTAGTCCAGCCGGGAAAACAGTTACATCTTATGGAATAGTATTCGGTCTTAAAAAAAAAAAATAAAAGAAGAAAGAAAAAACACTACTACGCAAAGGAGCAACCGAGGGAGGGAAGGGGTTGGATCCCTCGCTTCCATCCTGAGGTGGATGAGAGAAACTCCAGTCAGCGGGGATCTGCGGGCGTGATGGGTGCGTGCCCCTGTGTGTGCGCGCGTGTGTGAATTCCGCCTGTGACACTTTGGCTCTGTGTCAGGGGATGGTGTCGGTCTCGTGTAGACCGATGATAGATGACATTTTCCCAGACAGCTCTTAAAGTTCGTTAGTGAGCGGCTCTTGCTTGGGGTTTGTTTTCTTTTCCGTGTGCAGTTTAATAAAACGAGAGGGGGTTGGCAGGGGCCGGCTGGGCTATAGAGTGCCTGTGCCTACACGGAGGAAGAAACTGTCCCTTTGCAGGTGCCCTCTGGGGAGACCCAAAGGAAATCCAGTGGCAAATACTTGCTTCATTGACCCCTTGGACAGGGCCAGACTAATTGGGAAGTTCTCTTTATCAAATCCATGCTCTTGGAGTGGGGGGGTGGGCAGGGGGCTATCTGGATGGGAAATCTTATACAAAGCATTGCCTCCCACTGAGAGGGGCTCTGGGAGCAGTCTGTGCCTGTGGGGGAGGGGAGGTAAAAGTCCAAATGGGTCCTTTCCTTGAAGACAAGAATGGGGGCAGGTCCAAGGCAGAGGAGTAGTTGGTGATCATGGATCTGCCAGGGCTGGGCTTTCCAGATCTGGTTCCTGGACTTCATTTTCGGACACCAGTTTGTAGTGGGAAGGGGAAATGCAAATTAATTTATAAGTGGCTGACAGAAAACATGTGAGGTTTTATTATGACTGCAGTTGTGCTTTTCAAAGGACCCAAAAGAATGGAAGGCAAGAATAGCTCCTAGTTGAAGAGATTCACCAGGGGGAAACGTTCATTCTGACTTGCAGAAAGTTCACCTCCACTCCTGTTGTACATTTAGCTGTTGTATGCTTCTGTGAGCCATACCAACGCTCTCAGGCCTCCCTCTGCCTTTGCAGTGGGTGAAAGAATGAAATGGAAAAACATGCAGAGGTGGACAAATGAGTCTTTCTCAGTGGCAGTAGGCTTCTACTCAGGACATAGAGCCCAGAATAGATCCTTCTTAAGAGCCTTCCTTTCTGTCTTCAGCTTCTCTAATTCCTTGTGCTCTTTCCTTCTCTAAAGATGAACTTGGGTGTAGGTCCCTGAAAGATCGTTCATTAACATTTACAACATGAAGTCTAAATTTAACCTTAGACTTAGCAGCCACACGTACATGGGGGCTCTCAGGTTTGCATTCTCTTTGAATACTTGAAAGTGAGTTTTTAGCTTTGATAACAGCATGATAAAGGGCACTTAGGACTGCTTTGTGCAAAGGGCTGCAGAGACCTTGCAGAGGGATTGGATGAGCATGTCTTTTGTGTCACGTGACTTGATTCTTTCTTTCCCCCCTTCCCCTTCTTTACAGACTGTCTTGAGTTCTTCTTGAATTGCCAGTTTTCAGCCTCCTCATGCCTCCGTCTCCTTTAGACGACAGGGTAGTAGTGGCACTGTCTAGGCCCGTCCGACCTCAGGATCTCAACCTTTGTTTAGACTCTAGCTACCTTGGCTCTGCCACCTCAGGCAATAACAGCCACCCTCCTGTCATCGCCACCGCCGTTGTGTCCCTTAAGGCTGCGAATCTGACGTATATGCCCTCATCCAGCGGCTCTGCCCGCTCCCTGAATTGTGGATGCAGCAGTGCCAGCTGCTGCACTGTGGCAACCTACGACAAGGACAATCAGGCCCACACCCAAGCCATAGCCGCTGGCACCGCCACCACCACCATCGGAACCTCTACCACCTGCCCTGCTAACCAGATGGTCAACAACAATGAGAATACAGGCTCTATAAGTCCATCAGGTGGGGTGGGCAGCCCTGTGTCAGGGACCCCCAAGCAGCTAGCCAGCATCAAAATAATCTACCCAAATGACTTGGCGAAGAAGATGACCAAATGCAGCAAGAGTCACCTGCCAAGCCAGAGCCCTGTGATCATTGACTGCAGGCCGTTCATGGAGTACAACAAGAGTCACATCCAGGGAGCTGTCCACATTAACTGTGCCGACAAGATCAGCCGGCGGAGACTGCAGCAGGGGAAGATCACTGTCCTAGACTTGATTTCCTGTAGGGAAGGCAAGGACTCCTTCAAGAGGATCTTTTCCAAAGAAATTATAGTTTATGATGAGAATACCAATGAGCCGAGCCGAGTGATGCCCTCCCAGCCACTCCACATAGTCCTCGAATCCCTGAAGAGAGAAGGCAAAGAACCTCTGGTGTTGAAAGGTAAATGCCCCCGCTCCCTTCCCAAGCACAGTCCTCACTACCTCAGTTCCCTTTGATTTTTCTCTTAGAAGGGACAGCACTCTCTTTACCGTGGCTCCCAAGGACCGAAATAGACTTTCTTCTAGTCTTCCTTTCTATGTCCTTTCTTTTATTATTTTGGTACAGTAAGAAAAACCCAGCAGCATTGAACCAGAGACCAGAAGATGTGGGTTCTAGCTCTGATTCGGCTCCTAATTTGCATTGTGCAAGTCATTTCACCTCTCTGAGCGTGTTTTCTCTTTCTAAAAATGGGCTTTATACTACCAGATGGTCTCTCAAGTCATGGCTGGACTAATAGGTCTCTATTTCAGTCAGTAACTAGTTGGAAAGTTGTTGCCTCTCAGATGTAACCACTGCTTACGGAAATGAGGAAGCAGCATCAAGGTTGAACTGCAAGTAACCTAGAGGTACCAGTTCTCTTTGTAGGAAATCCTTCCTCTTTCTCACCTCTTGGACAAATGTGACTTTTATGTAGTTAATAAAGTGACCTTCAAGAAGGGCAGAGATCCCTATAATGAGGCCTCATGGAAAGTAGAAGTTCATCAAATACAGCCATTCTTCTGCCAAAGCTCTAAGGGGACAATGACAATGTTAGGAAACACTCCCCAACTCAGTGTTCTTTCTGGCCGCATCTGAAAACTGTTGACTTTATGGCTCCTCTGAAGATGGAGTAGTGGGTAACGTGCCCAAGAATACTGAGTAGAGAATAACCAAGGTTAGCAAGGCTGAGCCCCAGCCCAGCTGTACCTGTTCACCCTCAGATACTGTTCTTTGGGGCACTGCACATCACTCCTCTTCAGCATCTTCATCCTGGTGGTGGTAGTGAGAAATAGTCTACCTTCTTTCTTCCTCTCATGTTTTGAAGCAAGGTACACAGTTTCTGGGTCACATTTCCAGCCAGTCTGCTGAAGTGTGTTGACCAAAGGTGTTGCTGGGTTTCTTTGAAAGCTTTGTATATGTACATTTCAACAGGCCATTTGGATGAGAAGTTAGTTATTTTGTCTTTGTGGGACAGTTCTGCCATTCTCTTTTTTTATCTTCCCAAAGATGGATTCTACCTTTTGTTAAGTAGTGTTCTTGCAGATTACAGTTCTGAATTCTTTTGCTATATTACCCTGTTTCCATCCTCCACTTCCCTCTTCCCTCAAGCTTCTTCTCACTGAACTCATCCACCACAAAGGTCTATCTTTCCGTAGGTTTGGTGGGTCCTAAGAGAACATCATACAATTGCATATAGAGCATTTTCGTAGGTCCTGGACCTTTTTGAGCTGAAGATGGTGGATGGTGGCTTTTCTTGAGGTCACAAATATGTGCAGATGTTCTCTGTGTAATTGTTTTTATTATCTCTGTATTCTTGTTTGGTTGACTTAGAATGATGCCCAATAGATTTATCTTGCCGTTGTTCTTTCATTGTGATCTTGGCTTATTTAATCTTTTTCAGATGAAAAAAATACCATCTACAGTTGCAATAGTTTGTTTTGAGGAGCAAACAGAAGGGTAGCCAATGGCCTGGATGGTCTCTTCTTTTCTCATGTGGAGTAGATGGTCATGATAAAAAGCTGGCTTTTTGTGTCGGCATGGCCCAAAGAGAGGCACAAAACAATAAAAATTAAGGTGACCCTGGACTTAAACGTGAGGGTAGTTAGGAGGAGTCATAGATTCTGCACTCTCTTGTGTAGTAGTCAATGTTGTGTATGGGGTGGCCTGTCCATCACTGAGAAATGTTCTTCCTGGGCCCTACTTTTGAAAGTGGGGCTCCTTTCTCCCCTTCCTGTGGATGCAGCTGAGATTCTGGGCAGCCTGGGCTTGTTCTTCAATGTCAGAGAGTAAGATTGCCTCAGTGGGGCGGGGCCGAACTCGCTGCTGACCTCACCACTGGGCGCCCTGAGCGGCCGCTGGGAGGGCTCGTCATTTTCGGGTTGGTGAGACGCTGCAGCGGTGGACCTGGAAGACGCTCTGGTGGTAGAGGTTGGATTATTTGTAGCTTTTGGGACATTTTCTCCAAATATCTGGGAATTTGATGGGACACATAGTTCAGGAACAAAAGGGTCTGTAATTTACTTTATTATTATCATTGTTATTTTGCTCTCTTTGAGGGGAATGGCCAAAAGTTGAGACTGAGAAGGGAAAGAAGGGAAAGGCATAGGGCAATATTAGAATGTCCCTAATAAGGGCATTACCCTTCATCTGGCTAACCAGAGGTTAATACCATCACACCACTGAGGTGAAGGATGGGGTGGGTATCCCTCAAAGGGCATGACCAGCAACTTTGTCCAGGTTCTTGAGTGAGTCAAGCAGACTGTTCTGGTCTGGCTTGTCTTCTGAGGTTTATTTTGGTAACCCCCTCCCTTGGCGATCCAAGATTGTATTGCAGCAAGAGTGGTGGCCGCACCATTTTGGTATGAGTGCTTTTGCAGGGAAGGTGTGGTGAAGGGGTAGTTAGAATATAAGGTCAAAACTTCTAAAGCCTCGTGCTTTCAGAGATTTCAGTACAATCTCTGGTAATTTATGGCTGGTCCATCTGATTCTCTGGCTTATGTTTGTAAACACTGGTTGCTATCCTCCCTGTCCAAGTTTTATGTCCCTCGTTTCAATGCCACGCTCTCCATTTTTGGAGGTGCCTGTCAAGGAGAGCGGCTGCTTGGTTGCCATTTTTGTAATGCTGTGTCAGGTTGGGAAGAAACTGATCGGAGGCACGGAAGCCCCTGGGATTAAGTTACTGTTCTAATTTATAGCCCCTCCCGGTTGTGACCTATGTCTGAAGCCATGCTTGATTCTCAACTTCCGAAGAATAAATGGCATTAGACCTGTGCTTCTGTTTAACCTGGTGAAGTGATCCAAATAAATGCATATAGAGTGATTTGGAAAGGCTTTGAAAAAATTAGTCTAATTTATCCATAGTTGATTTTTAAACAAAGTTCAGTTTCTAGCCAAACTGAATAAGAGAGTTAGATAATTCTGGACTTCTCATAATGAGAGCTACCATTTTTATTATAATGTTTATAAAGCTTCCTTTCTTCTCAGCCAAGTTGGGCTCAGAAAGATAGTTTGCCATCTGCCTATGTAAGAAAGAATAATCTACTGCTACCTCCTCCTTAAAGAGATGATAGGCTTAAAGTTTTTTATTATAAAACTTTTCAAATATATAGAAAAGTATAGAAGTATATCATGCACACCCATATGGGAGGACTTGGAAAAATTAATAGACAATGGAGTTAAAGCATGAGTTTATTGTGGTGCAAAAAAATATTAAAATACATGAATAGTTTTGTCAAATAAGCATTTTTCCATGAACTTTTTGAAGGCCTCCCTCCCCTGTATACCTATCAACCCGATCAAACAAGTATACTTTTTTCTCTATTTTCTTTCTCCTTTTTGTCAAAATATTTTATAGTATAGACAACATCTTTCTATATTTAAGTATCTTTAATGTTTTTACACTTAATAGTTCTAATTTTAAAAAGCTAGGACTATTTTACAGTGTAGGCTGAACAATATTTTCGTCATAAATATTTCAGCGTCATATTCTCATTTTTGAGTGTTTTTCAAACTCAGAATCCCTCTGTGACCCCCTGACTGTCAAGTCTATGGAGAAACTACCCTCTCAGAGTGGGAAGGCTTCCGGCATCAACTTGAGGTCCGTGTATTCCTCTTCCACACAAGCATCTGAGGTCTTGCCTCTGCTTGCTCTGTGCTGTTTCGGAACAAAGACGGACTTGGACAGGCCTGCTCTGTACCTGAGGCATTTATGGAGAAACAAGGGAAA